TTACTTACATTAAACTATCTTATAATACATATAAATATATAAGACATATACATCATTTATAAAAGTACCTATGAACTAAAAAAAATATTCTATAAGTTTATAAAATCGTGTAAGTTATAGGTTGTAGGATGTGCATTCGTTTGTGGTCGCAATACATTTTGAACTTGTCAAAAGACTGTACGGATAGCTCACTATAATCGATTCGCACTAGTTCCAGTATCATCTTGTTACAAGCATACGCGCAGTCTCGAAGCAAAGATCTTAATAATTATAAAGATGTCCCAATATAAATAATAAATTTACAAAAAATCAATATCAGGTAAGTAGGGGGTCTACCCAAAACCGAAAAACATGGCAAGGGGTCTACGACACAAAAAAGTTTGGGAACCTCTGATTTAAAGCAAATTTTATGAACTAAATTTATTCTTCTAGTAACTGATTTTGGTGTTAAATTAAACATAAAAAAATATCAAATATTACATATAAAACGAATATTTTTTTTATTATTATATAAATAATAAATGTAGAAAGATAATTAAACTTAGTTTAAATCTTGAAATTTAGCATAAAATTTTAAAAAGTTTTGAAATCTACAATTTTCATTCATATATAAGAAATAAATTTAATTGTATAAATTGTATAAAAGGAATACATGTCTAAATAAACAGATTATATAATTAATGCAAAAAACATGTACCATTAATGTCAAGAGTGAATTAATGAACTTTTATGATATAATAAAAAAAAACATGCTACAATTCCTTAGATGGTTTAATTTGCATTTGTATATAAATCGTTTGAAATAAGTGAAGGAAGAAAAAAGTTAAGTATTTGGTTTGAGTTATTAGTATTTTTATCGCGTGCTTTTAGGCTCCCCTTTGACATTCAAGGGAAAACCCACCAAGTTATCTTGTCATCGTAAATTCGAATTTTATCTCGGGCAATTTGCATGAGCTCTGCCACCGAAGAGCTCATCAATATAAGAAGGATGATTGGCGGCACGTGGAGCGAATACTTCCCAAGTCGGGATTAATGTCTTGATAACTTTCATGCGGAAAATCGAGACCCAACCATAAAAAAAATACACTAGACTAAACTTGCGAAAATGTAAATGTTCGATCGACGCAAGTTTTTCTTGTTTGCAAATATATGTGTATAATACGCATAATTATATGCGAATATTAATTAATCATGAGCATTATATTATTCCTATATTTTAGTGTAAGTATATTTACAATTATTCAACAAAGTTAAGACCTTTGATTAAATTCATGGGCCCTACGCAAATTTTGATAAGGAAGACTCGGGCGAATTTGAATTTAAGGGGCCCATTCAATTTGAATTTGGGGCATCAAGGAAATATAAAATTTTAGGATAAGTATATGTAAAATTGTTATCACTGGCGTAACATAATATGGTCATGAACCATTTGATTAAATTGGTGAGCTCCAAGCAAATTTGTTTAAGGCAAATTTGAGGGTGCAAAGGAATAAAAGTTTTAAATTAGTCAAATTTTAAGGTAAGTATGGATAGACACGTATGCAAACAAAGCTAATGAGTCTGTTGATTGAATTTGTGGGTTCCACTGATATGAAAGTGTCAGGCAAAATTAAATATGATGGTCTAATAGAATTTGAATTTGGGTCCTCAATAAAAGTTTTAAATTAATCATTTACATAAGTACACGTTATAGTTCCCTTACAAAGATGACTATGACAGATTTGAATGTGTGGGCCCCATCGAAAGTTTTTGTCTAAATTTTCCACTCGCTCAACGTGAGTTCTTTTGATTTATAAATAAGTTATGATATAATGTTTAGTAAAAGGCGAAAAATGTATTCGCTTTGAAGAGTAATTATGATATAATTCAGTATCTCACCTGTGCGTATGAGTTTGAAGGTAACGCCGTTGTGACCTTTGATGAGTTCATTGTAATGAGGATGGGTGAGGTCCCGGAATGGGGATTCGCTGGAGGCCATCCCGAAACCGAAGTCCGCGGTCCTCTTGACACGCGCTTCCGGTTTCTGGGCCGATCCGAAGAACTGCTTCCTCCTCGTAGGCGACTTCTCTGCAGGTAATAAGAAACGAATACAAAATCGAATTAATTACGGAACAGCATTTCGGGCATAGCTTTTATTATTAGCATCTAGAAACGCGTAAAATAAACAGTGCAGTGTTCTTGCGGACCTAAAAATAAGCGCGAGTGCGAACAGAAATTTTGCGCTCTATTTTTACTCAATGATAGTAACACTATTTGCCAAAAAGTCCCCACAACGGGACAATGATGATGATTCGATGATCGTGGCTGCAATCATCATCTAATTCAATATTGCCCACACGTTTCAGGATACTCACGCAACAGGATAACGATCAAAGTGGACGTGTTCGTGCCTAAATTAATGTATGTCCGTCCCACAAATCGATTCTAATTCAACTCGAACTTCGCTACTTTTAATCAATCGCTGAGCAATGTTTGTAAGCGGATGAGGTTTTAAACAAGTCGAGGAAATTTGCATCTCTTTGGACCGGTTCCAGCAGGATTGTTAAAATTTTAATGAGCTTTTTAACACTGTTATGTACACTCTGTGTTTTTTTCTTTTTGGTTGACTCGCGTCAACTTCCCAAGCAGCCTTTGATCGTTGCTGCACGCCTCGCATCCGCCAATATTCGCAAAAATGCACCGAAAACATATTTATCGAATTTTGATGCACACTCTCATTTTTGTTTTGTTTTGTTTCATTTGTGCAGAGGGGACCAAAAATATCTTTGATGGTCACGGATAAAAATAAATCTATTTTTTGTTAATGTAATGAGCCGTGGTCCAAGGATCTATATAACTTTGATTCTGTCTCTCTCTCTTTCTCACACTTCTTGCAATTATGCAAGAGTGTGTCCAAAAAGCTCAAGGTGCCTGAACTTAAATGGGCCGTGCATTACGTTAATTGCTTTCTAACAATTACCCAATTACGATGATTAGAGCCAAAAATTCTATTTCCGAAGAGTAATTGCTATTCCATTAGAATTATTATTTCCAACGTAATAAATTACTAAAAATGAGTAAAACGTAAGCTATTAAGTATTTAAATGTATCTTTAATACCACTAAATTAATTCATAAAACAATAAAGAAATAGTGTAAATGTTACCGTAAAAGTTTAAAATCGGCAAATGTGAGTTTAAATATGAGATCATCTTCATATTTCCAGTTAATGTACACATTTCCCAACGTATATCGGTAAAAGTCAAAAATTATAAACATAAATATGATAAACTTGTATATTAAACACTATTTTATATTAATATTATTTTAGGGGATTATATATTATTTACTACAGTAAGGAGTGTTATAATGGCACTTCTCACATTATAACACTTGCATTTCTTAAATCTTTGTCATCTAATTTAAGATTCTTTCAATATTAGGTACTTCATCAATAGATATTTTTATTTTAACGTAAAATTATACATATTAACCAAAGTCATGTACACATTTTCCGGAAATGGTCTGTAAATGTAGGTTAAACTTACATTTACCACCCAAGCTGATGGATAAGTACATATTCCGTTAATATGTACATTTACCTAACAACGCAGATTTTACACAACATATATATGTTATAATATTAATAACATAACAATATTAATTAGTATGCCTGAAAGAAAGAATAGTTGAAGTTTTTTTTTTTAATTTATGTTTTCTATATTCCAGATTGCTCACAACTAAACTCAACCCTGAGACTCAAGAAATTGCATACAGCTTTATGTAATTTGTGGTTCCGCATTGATTCTGATTATTTTTAGATCTTCATATTTAAGTACACATAATAAAATTGTTAAATCCTACTTCCAATTGCATTTTTACTGCTTGCAACGAATATCCTTTATGCCTCCAAGCAATTTCACTAAATTCATATTCCGATAAAATACGACACTCGATAAAATACGGTACCTTTCGAGATGCTTTATCATTGCACTGGCGCAACATTTGCCCACGGTGTCAATTAAAGCCGTGTTATTTTTAGTTAATTACTTTCTGTTTTCGAACTGCCGACTGTTATTTTTTCCGCTTCTGGAAACACAAACATTCCTCCTGGTCAACGAAATGCAACGCAGCTGTCGCACCTTTATTCCTGGCACGTCCATCGTTCACTTCACGATATTCAACCTGTCGCCACTTCGCCATTATTGATTCTGGAGAACGTTTCAACTTTTAGTTTTCTTCATGAATGCAATTATAATTATCTGTCTCTGCTTTCATTCCCACGAGGATTTCTCATCTTCGCATGAACAGATTTATCCTTTGTACTGAACACATCATGGATACAATCCAGTTTAATTTAGTAATTGTGTTCTCTTGAAAACTATCTATGCATAACATAGATTTAAAATAATCCTCGTAATGAAAGATTTAACAGACTTCAAAATATTATTTCATTTGAAATTTATAAAAAAAGATATTAACGAATTTAGTCAGTAATATCAATAAATGATTTGCATGAGTTTAATTGAATCATAGTTAATTATTTTAAAACAAGTTTATTTTTGCTACAATTCATTCATTCCTATAATTTAAAGTTATCAAATTGACTGATTACAAATTCATAACATTTTTAATTTAATCAACATAATTCATTTAAAATTAATCCATTTTATATTTCTATGTATAGTTCATTACTTCCGTCCCAATTTTTTCAATGTAAAAAGTTTAATTTATAGCACATAATTAATCTCACCACAGACAGTTTAAATAAAATTCTACTATTTGGCGGGTAACGAATTCCATTATTTTTCATGGACATTTAGAAGAATTTTAATTTCTGAATGTCTTTTTTACCCCTAAGAATTCACTTTTACTCTATTTGGATTATTTTATCAGGATTCACCGACCCCAGATCTACTACTATGCAAGAAATTTAAATTTTAATGGAAATTTGACCTATATATTGTATATGTTAACACCCAGTTAACAGTAGACCTGATCTTTTTTTTTCAAATTAAAAAATGTACACCAAAAGTAAAAAAAAATGGTAAAGGTTATAGGTCATTCGAAAGAAAATTTAGGAAGTTGTGAATAATAAAGGAGAATACATTAAAGTCATTAATGTATTATGTATTTGTTGTAATTTTCTATTCTATTTATATCCTCATAATTTGAAGAAATCGGACAAAACTTATGTTAACATCCAATATAACGTGTTATCATGCATTTTTTTTTATAATTATGTAATAAATACGTATAAATAAAGAAATATAGTAAAACATTAGTACATATAAATATATATTAATTTCAGTTTTCAATAGAAAAAATACAGTTTGAATTTTCATATTTTAACTTAAGTACTGTCATTTTATTTCAGGTATAAAACTCCTTTAACTTGATTAATATATATTTACAATATGTACACATATAAGCTAAAATTGTATTGTAGAGAAGAAATAATTTTCATTTTGTTGTATATTTATATTTAAATCAATTAGGATTATTCTTTTAGTGTATTAAATTTGATTATAGTGTATTAATATTCGATTTATTTTCACATTTTCTACTGTTTTGTTAAATTTTATATTTCAACTTGTAGTGTTCTGATAATTGATAAGTAGGATCAGCTTATTGCATATATAGTTCTATATACAATTGAATATTAATGTTTTTTAAAACAAAAATATATTATATAATTTCAAAATGCTTTTAGAACTTGCAGTACTTTTTGTATGTTATCAACCAGTATATTTATTTGAGTCATTGTAACTATTCATCATATTTATAAATTATTAAATAAGGCTTCATCCACAGTAGTAATGAAACGATTCAGAAAATGTGTGTCTAATTTACATATTCTATTTGGTTACTATGACTATACTTCTAGCGTAAACACACCCTAAATGTATGAAAACGTCTTATCAAGCATAGTCTGAGTACAATTCAACTTCGATGATTTTTGATTCACTATAGTCCGGTTAGGAAATTTTAAAGGAAAACTAAATTTTAATTCAACCAGAAAATATAAATAAAGTATAATTATTTGAGAGGTTTACAGTAACCACGTATATCTCCTCGTATAAATATTTGTTGTACTAAAATAAGAATACGAATATGCCATTTGATCATATCTACGTTTTTTTTTTAAATATATTAATTAATCTGCATCCACACTGTTACATGAAACGAAACAGAAAATGTATGTCAAGTGTACAAATCCCATTTGGTTACAATGACTATACTAAACTTCCATGTGTTCACGATATATCTATCTAAACTATGTATTATTTCACGCATAGTGGGAATGCAACATATGTTAAAAAAATGTGTGAGAAGCGAGAGAGAAATGTTGAATGAACTATTTTTGCTTGAGTAAATAAAATAGAAAGATTTTTATTTATTTTTGATTCGCGGTGGAATTTTTAACTCCGGAGATTTATTTTAAATCGGCTTTTGTTGCTGGAAGCAAAGTGGATGTTTTCCTTATTGTAAAAAAGTGTTTACACGAGCCGTCCGGACGGATCCAGTTCGATCATCGAAGACTGAGGTAGTTATCTATTAAATATAAACCCGTTGTTTTATTTGTGTACTTAAACTTGACACTTTGCCCAAGATCGGCGGCGTCCGAAGCCGTGCCTCAGACGGGCGCCTAAACTCTCATCCATCTATTTATTGGATAATTACCTATAGAGGTGTTGATTGTTGTGTTCTCGTCATTATGTTTGTCTGTTCCTTTTAAATCGTCGCCGTTTTTAATATAGATCTAATGGTATTGTTAATTAATTAGAGTTAGATGGAGGGAATGGTGCATGTGAATCGGTGTTAGTGATGCAAGTGCGTTGCGATCCAAGGTCATGCATAGTTAGTGATGCTTTATTAGTTGGATCCACGCAGTTCGCTGTGGCGATATTAGTCTTGCACACATTATAGTTGTATGCCGTCGGTTGTGGAAACATCTGAGTCTCTCAAAATAAAACCGGGGATCATGCCGGGGCCGAGAGAGCATTAGCGGTGTTAGTTGGGTACGGAAATAGCTCTCCACCACAAGCAGACTGGCACACTCAAAATGCAGCAAAGCTAGTGTAGCCTTCACCTGGCGTTACTCTTCTCTGAGGCTCCGGACTGTGTGATGGTTCTCTTCTGCTGAAGAGGTTGTCGAAGTCCACCTGGGGAGTCTTCGATCTCTTTCCTTGCTGCTCCGGCTTCAGGCACTTGTGCACTGGCAGGAAATCGGAGTAGGAGAGTCTCTTGTCCTTTCCAGGTGGTACCTTGAGTTTTGGTACTTTTAAGGTATCTTTTTGCTTGGTCTCTTTGCTACTAGCAAGCTCCTTGTTGCTAGAGGACTTTTTGACTTCGCCGTGAGCTTTCTCTGGTTGGAGGTTGCTAAAGGGGGCGCTCGCCGTTGACCGAAAACTTCTACTGGAACTGGTCGAGGGGATGCTAGGGCTGGGGCAGCTTCCGGTTGAGTGGCCACTACTGGGTTGAGGTGCGGAGGCTGGGTCCTGTAAGGGTTGGGGGACTGCAGTCCGCGGTACCGACGGCACGTATATCAAACGACCATACGACAGATAAACTACTTCATCTGCCGGGAATATTACATACATGCTCCTCCATGCACACACATCGCGAACCCTCTCGTCCTTCCGTCTCCTTTATCCCACACTCCTTCGATTCCCACATTAAAGATTCAACCGACTGTTGTTCAACACCACCACCATCACCAACACCATTTCCCAACGCACAAGGAACACTCCTAATCGCACCACAACAACTATCCCCCCTTTTGTTGACTATTACAGCTACCTATCAAAACATAATAAACAACATTAATCACAATGTCAACAAACAGACAAACATGTTAGTACAAAAAAATTACACAAATGTTATTGCTCTTAACTCAAGATGACAGAAAACATAAATCTGTCAGGCATACCAAAATTAATATCCAATAATGTTTTAAGTTGGTGACCATTGAATATCGCAGCTAAATACGTCTCAACTAATCTTATTTCACCGCAACCATTGCGCATGATACAAATATACAAGTTATAATCCCACGCCTTTGGCATTGAATATATATTTGGCGGGAATTTCAAATTCAAAAATCAATAATTTTTAATCAACGTAATACAACTTGTTTATTTATATCAAGAACTTGCATAACATTAATATTTCATACTTATTATTTTAATTGCTTTTATGTTATATTTTTATTTAAATACTTAAATTTATAAAAAAATGTCTTTGTGCTGTTTATTTCTATATAATTTCATATTCCTCGATTAATCTACTTTCTATCAGTCTGGTATATTGACGAAAACGATTATCCGGCTATTGACCATAGACCAGGTCACTTAATTTTATTATCTAAAAAAATATTTTTTTTTGCTAAATTGATCATAAGCGAAAATATCTGTTGTTCTTTTTTAAATCATACATTTTTGTTTATTGTTTCTAAAAAAATGTTTCTTTGGAAACCTTTTTATGCGGTTTTGAAGTTATGCGGTTTTTATTTCAAGAAGAACTTTTTAAATAACTATTTTAGGCCATTTTGACACGTTTTAACAAAAATTGGCAAACCATTTCATCGAAAAAGATGATAATTCTGAACGAGCATTCAAGTCTCAACGCGAGCTTCTGAATTGCATTTCTATATATCAGGAATTGTACAAAAGCAAAGCCATCGCAAAGTTTAATCACCGATTATATTGTCAAAGGGAAAAAAATAAACATGCGAAGTTGAGACTAATTTTACATAGATCTGATATGCTCACTATCTCTCCTAGTGATGAAAGTGATTTCAAACCAGTTCGCAAATTATGCCAAATACTCTCATATAGCGACTAAAGAAAAAAATGTGAAGAAAGATTAACTTTCATAACAATTTTCCGTTTTTTTTTTGTAAAATTTTTCCATATACATTTAGAAGGAATATGTTAAGATTATATTTTTCTGAAATTTAATAAACTTGTCTATGATTGTTAACGTTTTTATAAAATTATGAATAAAAATTTCAGAAAAAAATATAGTAAGATTCATTATTTTATGCGATTTTAGGTTTAGTAATTCTTTATTTTTATACGTAAGTCTAGTCCTTTTTTGTGCGATTTATTTTTATGCGTTTTCCTGTGGAACGTATCTACCGCGTAAAAAGTGTATATGAAAATTGCCAAGTGGTAATTATTCCACTCGCTGTCAAAATATTAATTATGTTTACTAAATTCTAGAATGTAGCAGGTTGTAAATAAAACTTGTAATAATTAATTATCGGGATTGTTTTTTTTATACTTATTTGTTTGGTGTTTATTATTTTTTATCTAAATTTTTATTAATAAAAATTGCAAAATATTAATTTTGTTTACTAAATGCTAGAACGTAGCACAATGTATATGAAACTTATAATAACAAAAAAAAATAACTCTGTAAATATATTTGCAATATTTACAACACTCGAGTACTCTAAAATTTATATTAAGAATAATTAATTATTTAAGACACTTTTAAATGTGTTAATATGTAAATGATTAATTAAGAAAACAAAGTTTAATTAGGCACAAACTTCGTTTAGTCATGAATATTTATATTTATATTAATTTCTAAGCTTTTGTAAAGATTTGATTAGTTAAATTAATTAATTAGATATAAAATAAGCATTATAAAATTATTAATTTATTTGTATACGGTTTCAAATAGTGCGGCATATTGGTGGAATCGATTATCCGCACTATGCAAGGTATTTTTATTTATTAATTTAATTCAGTAAACATTTTACTTATACCAAAGTACGTTATAAAAAGCGATATATTGATTTATTTGTTATGAAGTGTCCAAATTATAAAAATAAATATAATAATCTATAATATTTTGATAAAAATATATTTTATATCAAGAATTTATTATTGAAAAGATCAATAAATACAATTTGAAAGTGAATTTCCATATGATAGAAATATATCTTAAGATAAAAGTAAACAAGAAAGTCGAAGCTACTTAAAAGCGCCAATAGGTTTAAAATAAATTCCACGTAATGGCTCTGTTTATAACCCAATATAAATTAAACAAAGCGTAAACGAGTAAAGTGAATGTAATTATTCACCGCACGAACGCCAATTTAAATATCAAATAGTATAAGTAACACTAAGTAGGTTAATAACCTTTAGCCCAGATTTACTTTTAGATACATTTAATAATATAATACGTCCAACACACAGCAACGGCAAATCATAAGATTAAGATAATAATAAACTGCTACTATTTTAATAACTTTATTTGAATCCGCTCTTGATGATTCATTATTTATAAGCCATACTCCGGTTATTTTTATTCATCGACTCATTTTATTTACAAACTTTTCTGTTCGAACGTCAGGTAAATTTTACCGTTGACATTAATTGACAATAACTTTCAATATGTAGATTTTTATGAATAAAATCTCAAGGTTTTATTAATAAAAACAAAAATGTTATCAAGTTTTTATTTTGTGATTTAAATCTATTTCTATGAGTTCTACATAGATTTCTGATAATGACTAAATGTATTTTTTGTTATAATTGAAATATCATTTCATAATTGTATAATATCAAAGTTGGTTTGTTTAAACTTGTTTCACGTTTAAAGTATTTGGTTTCCAAAAGGTTACTTGTTTATTTAATGAGAGTTAACATCCTACTTATATTATAAAAACTTTCAAAATTTTAATAGATGCAATACCTCGCATAATCCGGATTGAACAAGGGCGGCATGTTCTTTATAGACTGCAACACAGGGCACCGTTCAATCAAAGCGAAGAGGGCCCACGTGGTAGAAAAAACACAACTTTTGTAAATTGCTAGTCGAGGGTCCCTAAAAATATTAGTTAAGAGCTATCAGAGAGTATGAGAGTCCCTCTTAAATATAATCGAAGTACCCTAAACAGTATTGGTTCAGGGCCTTCAAACAGTGATAACTGAGGGACCCAAACAGCGCTAGCGATGATTCACAGGGCGATTCACACATGATTACTGTACCGATTAAATGGAATATTATCCCGAAAAAGCGGAATAAATTTATTTTATTTCCTTTATTTCGTTTCCGTTCTTTAGGAATTGTCCCTAATAAGCTGCTGTCCCGATATAAGTGCATAGATGATAGATCTTTTCCTTAATATAGTAGTCTCTTTTTGTGTTATTTATTTGTATGCGGTTTTAAAGTCCACAATTCTGTTTTTACACAGATAATTAACAAAAAGTCTCCATATTTTCATATAATACAAATTGTATTATTCAAATTGTATTTATTTTAGTTTCGGTTGGAAGCAAAACCATTGTCGGTACTCTCCATTTATCTATTATTGTACTCCGTTCTCTCTTTTCCCGTGCGTTTTGTTTATTTTGGTTTTCAAAAGTGTTTAGTCTGTGCAAACTGTACGGCTTCCTGGATCGTTGGCCCAATTTGTGCAATACCCAAAACAGAAGGAAGAAATAAAACAAAATAAAAAAAGAAACGAAGTAAACACAAAAAAGCGCAGTAACAAAGAGAGACTCGAAAAACTATGGATAAAACGTAAAAAAATTGTATTTACTTTGGAGTCGGATTCATTGCATTGCATATAAAAGTATGATTTTGATGTACGAGAGTAATGCGCAATAAAACCTTCAGTACACAGTCAGATCGTAAACATTTTTATTCCACTGCAGTTGCATGATTTACTTTTAAGGATACAGGCTAACGCGGTCGCGCAGAAAACAATTTGGCGGTAAATTTGAATAATTTGTTATATGTTATTTATTAATTTTAGCTTAAATGTAAGAAAATGTGTAAAATTTAGTAAACTAATTAAAACTTAATTTTAATAAATGTTAGTTAAATATAAATGGAAGTTAACTGATAGAATGGAATGGAATTCTTTATGAAAATCAAGTTTTAGGTAAATTTTGTTATTGTAACATTTCATTAAAATAAAATTTTTGGTATTTCATTTTAAAATTTAAGAAATTTACCACAAGTTATGAATATATCAAGTGTTATAATATTTGATTAATGAAGATTATAGAAAAGTTATAAAATATGTTAAGAAAATTAAAATTAAAATAAGTCGTTTTTATATTACTTATTATAATTTTTATATTTTATGGCTTTTTCAAATTATAACTTGAACAAATAGAAGTTAATTAAAGAGAAACACATGTTAATTATTTAATTGTTGTAAAAAAATTGCACTATTTTTAAACGCTTTTCCTGTATTTTCTAATAAGATTTGCGAACTTTACTTTAATGTGTCGTTTATTAC